TCCTCTAAGAAAGGGAGGCAGGCCAGGTCAGGGATCAGGGAGGACATGCATGGACATTTGATCTGAGCAGGAGTCCAATTTTAAAAGGAAAAATGTAGATATGAAAAAAGGCAGTAGAAGAAAGATCTTGTTCCTCTGGTAACCATTTTTCTAGCTAAGCTATTTGAGAAGGCTACAGAAGGTTACTGCTTCTTGCTGGACAATGGCAGTCCCTGCAAGAGGGACTTTCATTTCTAGGATCAGCGATGATCAAAGACAGAATGGGTAGCTCTTGTCTGGGACTGTGTACTTGAAAGAGTTGCTGAAATTGTGGGATATAAGGAGAGGAGGTTAGCATCAATTTTGTTCCTGGTGGTACATGGGAATACCACTGTGTCGATTAGAGAGTATTGGAGTTTAAAGTATTACCCTCTCTTAAAATTAAAACATTAGCATGTAATAAAATCAGAGTTCTCCCTTTGGTCTCAATAAAATGTGAATGAAGTCAAAAGTAGACCCTACTTATAAACCAAAAGTTATAATGAAAGACTTTTTGGGAATAAAAGAAAACTGTGTTCAGTGTTTTTTCCTCTTAATCTCTAATTGTTACAGCAGATATTTTATTCCTATAAAAGGGGCATTCTACCCACATACTACGGACGGCTTTCCAATAGTGCCTGCAAAAGCAGTGTCGCTGGGGCTTTTGTGTTGTAAAACTGCCCTGATTTAGCTAAGTTAGAGAAGGCTGGCGCATTCTCAGGTTCATTAATGGTACCAGGAGCAAATGTTTGCTGCTGTCCTTGTCCAAAGGAGCTTCCATTTTTCAGCACGTGCTCTTAAACCGCGTATTTTTCTCAGTTCTCAGTTTGACCGAATGAAGAGGCCATCACATTTGCTCCTGTTGCTGCACAGGCAGAAAGCCAGGGGGTTTCAGTGTGGAGCCCCGGTGTGAACACCCACTGTCTTCACTCAAGAGTCCCTGCCACATCCTCCTAGGCGCGATACCAGACTCTGGAGCTGGCAGTGTTTGTTTCTTTTCTGTCTTTAATTCTGAAGGGCATCCAGAAAGAGATCTTTTCCCAATCTCTGTTTTCATCTGGCCACTTTGCCCAGAATATTCTGCCCTTTTCATGAATATAAATAAAATACTGTATGGGAAGATCTGAAGCCTGAAGATCTTCCTGGTGCTGTGGATGGAAGCTGAGCACCAAGGTCAGATCCCAGGGTTCTGTTCAGTCAGAGCCTGAGCAAGAAGACCCAGGAGAGGAAGTGGTTCCAAGTTTATTTCAGTGGCGTTGGTACTGTTAAGTAAGTAGGTAGTAGACAGCCTGACACTGTCTCATACTTAGAGTTTCTCTATACTAAATCGCAGGTTACCTTAGTATGTAAACCAACTGAAACATAATTTAGGAGTACATATGTGTACTGTATATTTTCTTGTAACAGATACTTGGGTTTCAGCCAGTCACAGGCAGCCAGCTGATCAGCTCATATCCAGAGAAGGTAGAAGCCCACCGCTCGTGCTGCTGGGGGAGATCCCTGAACCCCTCCTGGTTCTGAGTGCTGCCTGATTCACGAATTGTTCCTTGTTTGGATAAACTTTGTTATGTCAAGTTTGTGTAGTTTTTCTTTTAACGGTAGTACACTGGTCCTCAGCCTAGCTGCTGACCGTGTGTGTGTGTGTGTGTGTGTCCACCCGATATTGCTGCTCCCTGAGCACCACCGTCCTTCTGATGGCAAATGTGACCTCCTTCTAGTGGATTCTGCCTGGGGGGAGCTGTGATTAGGGTGACCCTAGAGGGCCCCTCCCTCAATGCCAGTGCTGGGGACACCTGTTTCACTTGGAGACCAGGACAGGGAAGACACCTTGACTGCTGTGCAGTAAGGTCCCTCTAAGTCCCAGCTCGCCTTCGTCTTCTGGCTACGAGGCTTGACCTGGATTCCTTGAGCGTACAATCATCCACGTGCCTCCTGCTAGCTTACACTTTGCTTGCTGGCCTCCTGCTGACTTGAGCTCTGCACCCACACCAAGACACAGGGAGCCACTAGCTGGGGTCAGCCTGTAGCTGCTCTGAGTTCCGAGCTTAGTTGGCTCCTCTCCAAGATGGTTCCCAGCCAGTCACCCTCTGCTGGGTGAACCTGGATATCTCACCAGCTACTGCAGTCTGCTGCAGCCTCTGCTCTGTTCCACTGGTGGGTTTCTCCTCAGAGGCCTCTGGGGTCACCAGTAGTCACCATCTGTAAGTTTGGCCCGCTGTTCCCATGCCTGCTGTGGTAAAGGTGCTGCTTGTTATCTCCTCCCCTCTTTGAAATCTCTTCACTTTCCCATTGACTGTAGTTCTTGCTTCAGAGCCTTCCTGGGTCGTGGGGACCCACTTCCCTCCTTCTCCTTCTTGCGCTGCTATATTTTAATGTCAGGACACCAAATCTTGGAGAGGCTCTTTCTCTGCTACTTACCACTCCACCATCTTCCCGGAAGTCCCTCACCTTCTTCTTCCTCCCTTTCTTCGTTTGAGCAAAGTATGGTAAAACTCATGGGCTTAGGGGGCAGAGCTAAGTTTTAATTCCACCCAAGAGTGACTTGGCTTATCTGGGATTGTTTCCTCCGTGGTGATGGCATTGTCCCCTCAAAGGACGGGGACAAGGATTGCATGAGACAAAGCATTAGCCTCAGATAAGTCTGTTTTTGAACTGTTTTTTTGGGGGGAAGACCAATGCAGTAACTGATCAGACAGCCCCACTTAAATAAAAACCGGTATTGAACAGCCAGTGTGTATCAAGTACACGTACCAGGCTTAATAGTAGAAGTAAGGACACTTATTTTAGTATGTAGTCAGCTCTACTAAAGCGTAAGTGGTTCTGAATCACCAATTGCAAAATCATGCAATAACAATTACACGGCTTAGCTGGGTATGATGGTACACACCTTTAATCCCAGCACTGAGGGAGGCTGAAGCAGGAGGATTGCAAGTCAGAGTCCCACCTGGGCAACGTCAAATGAGGCCTTGTCTGAAAAAAAAAAAAAAAAAATGGGGACATAGCTCAGTGAGAAGATTCTGGGTTCATTCCCCTGTACTGCAAAAACAAAAAACAGCCATAGGGCTTATGAGCAAATATACGTTAGAGGTGTAACACCTGAGAAATTTTTTAGTGACACATAAAACACACATGCATGCGCGCACACACACACACACACACACACACAAAACTAGGAGCTTAATAGTAGCAGTAGCACAGTTTTACGTATGTTAAATAATTAAGAAATATATGACAAACTGGATGTTGTGGAATATGCCTGTTATCTTAGCACTTGGGGAGGCTGAGGCAGAAGGATCTCAAATTTGAGCCTAGCTTGGGAAACTTGGTGAGACCCTGTCTTAAAATTTAAAAAAAGGAAAGGACTGAGGATATAGCTTGATGAGAGGGCCACAGTTTCAATCTCCAGCACTGGAAAAATAAAAAACATTTCAGTACAGCCCATGTGGCACTTTCCCTGAGACTTGAGGTTTGTGTGTCGGAGCAGATGTTGGAAGGGTGGCTGTGGCTGTTGTGAAGCAGGGCCCAGTGGTTACCTGCAGTCGTATGAGGCATGACCCTCCTGTACCACATGTGGACAGCCTCATGTATAACTCCTGGTAGATGCCTGTGGCTTTTGTGTGTTTCCATGTGACCATGTTTATTTATTTATTTATGGTGTGTTGTTGTTGTTGTTGTTGTTGTTGTTGTTGTTGTTGTTGTTGTTTTGAGACGGTCTCACTATGTAGTTGAGACTCACCTGGAGCTCGCTATGTAGTCCAGGCTGGTCTTGAACTCAGCAATCCTCCTGCCTCAGCCTCCCGAGTGCTGGGATTACAGGCATGCACCACCACGCCCGGCAGTGTGACCAGGTTTAGCTGAGGGGAGTCTGCAGAATTCACATCATGCTCACATCCTTCTGTCACATGGGTTCCTTTGGAACATGCTTCATTTTCTTTTCTTCTTCTTCTTTTTTTTTTTTTTGGCATGGGTGGTGGGCAGAAATCAAACTAGGACCTTGTGGTTGTAAGGCAGGTGTAGTAGCACTGAGCTAAATCCCTGGCCGATTGCTGCATTTTCAGAACAAGCAAGACAGCAGAACAGACTGTGTAGTAGCTTCCCAGAAAAGGCTACCTTCCCCCAGGCAGTACCCAGAGTAGAAATAAATGGAATCAATGTAAAACATATAGATCAAAAGTAGGAAACAAAATATAAAATGCCTGTGTTCTTTATATAGAGGTTACCGTGTTCTGGGTAAGTGGAGTAGTGGGATGTGGGGTGGTGGCCCTGAACTCTGTACTGTTCCCTCTCTTGGCTTCTCTGAGGTACCGTGTCGTCTGTCTGTTAGCACAGGTCAGCCCCCCGCGACCTCACGCAGACTGAACCTTGCGAAAGGTCATAAATAACTCCACGCCATGTTTCTTGATCCACCCAAGATCTTCAAAGATTTCCTGCTGATGAATCCTGTTTTAAAAATCAGTGTGATTGTGAATACAGATGATGCTGGGAGAACAGGGGTAGTCCTATAATTTGTGACTTTCACACGTGTGTTGGCTGAAAGGGCAGCAGAGTCAATGAGTAAACTTTACTGAAGGTTTATGAAGTGCAGAAATTGCCTATGCATTTTTGCCATATGTGCATTTTATTAGGAAAGGTTCCTCAGCTTTCATGATACCTGAAAGCAATTTTCGATCCTGATACCAGACTGCTGATATAAAAAAATCCCTGAAGTGCAGACTCACTAGGGTGGCTTAGAGCACATTACAGCTATGTGTGTTATGTTCTAGTACACTGAGCCTGTACAGGGGAGCTACTGTAGTTTCCAGGAAGCACTCCTGGGTGCCTCCTTCATGCCAGCGCAGAGCTGGTGGGACCACTGTGTCAACCTTGCATGCCATTTTTGACATTTCTTCTAGACCAGTCACAGAGGTGAAGGATTTCCTTTCTGACAGGGGTATACCTTTCAGCCATATATCTCACGCCCCCACCCCTGCTTTATTTTCCAGGTGGGAGCAGCGGGAGCTGCCCAATGGGCGGGTCTACTATGTTGACCACAATACCAAGACCACCACCTGGGAGCGGCCTCTTCCTCCAGGGTAAGTAAGGCCTGAACTGACTTCTCCACCACTTCCTGCCGCTGCCTTCTCTCTAGTTTACACTGTTTTCCTCCTTTCTCTGGTATTTCCCTTTCCTTCTAGTTTTCCCTTTTTATGTTCTATCTTTTCAATCTTTTTCGCTTTTTCTCCACCTGCATTGTGTTGGCCAAGACTGATTGCCATTGCTTTACCAAGTGGTATTCAGAGCTGGCGAATCCTACAAGAAGAGGGAGTGGGGAAGCCTTTGGGCTTTAGCGTCTTGAGTCCCCAGTCATGTCACCACACAGAGCCAGCCCTGTTAGGGCCAGTGTTCAGTTCCTTTCTTCTGTTTATACTGTTTGCCACTGAGCAAGAAGTAGCAGAGGAGAGTGACATTTATCCTGGATCACTTGATTGCTTTTTCCATCCCGTTACTTTAATTCTGCTCTCATTTCTTAAGACAGACTGGAGTTTGTAGAGAATCTGTAAGGAACAAGCTAGGGGCATAGACACCTGTCTAGCATGCACTAGGCCCCAGGTTCAGTCCTAAGCACTCAAGAGGGGGAAAGGGTGTGAGGAGACTGGTAAAGAAAGAATGTTGACGTGTTTTGGTGCCTGCTGGCTCCACCCTGCCTAGAAAGACAGAGTCCTGCTCGTTCAGCTGGGCTTGACGAGAATACAGCCAAGTTCTGCAAAACCGAAGGGTGAGGAGTGAGGCTTCCAGCAGGGGAGAGGCTGTCCAAATTCAAGGACTAGGGGTTTGATGCCCTCTTTGCCAGGGACAGAAAGTTCTTTCCAGGGTGTCTCCTGGTCCCGAGAGCTTTCAGAAGGAATGTATTCTGCTCTCAGGAAATAACCAGCCCTGACTCACGCGGCCATGAAGGGCTTCCACATAAAATATGAACTCTTTGCCTCCTGAATTTGCAGAGGGGAGGCGTGTTGGAGGTCGTGAGTCTCAGGAAAGCCCCTGTGCCGTGTGTGGTTCCACTGTCAGGCAAATACCACCTCACCTTCTGGCCCCGCAGCTTTCTATGGCTGGGGTGCTTTCAGCTTCAGTTTCCAGTGGGGCGCTCGGGCTTTCCTTTTCCTCTTTCGCCGCCTGGGAATGGAACTCGGCGTTTGTCATCACTAGGGCTCGCTTTATTTTCTGATTGACTTGAAGTCGAATGAAGTTATGAAGTTAAACATAGACTTCTTGACTTAAAAAAACCCAAACAGGCAATTTACTGGGGAGATGATGGAAATTTTCATACTGTTTGGAAAATTTCAAGTTTGTGCAAAGTAGAGAGAATAGTACAGTGAGCCCTCACATACTCAACACTCAGCTTCAGTCATTATCAACAATTTGTGGTTAGTTTTGTTTCATTTGTACAAGGGGTTGGCACGTGCACAAAACCTGGCCCTTTGCCTGTTTTTACAAATAAAGTTTTATTGGAACATAGCCATGCTCGTTGGTTTACTTTTGCTTCATGCTGCTGGGATGAAACTTAGGGCCTGTGCATGCTAGGCAAGTGCTGTGCCACTGAAGCACATCCCTAGCCCTGCTTACATTCTTTAGTGGTGGCTTTCAAACTTCATTGGCAAGATTGAATCCCTGCAGCCTGCAAAACCTAAAATACTGACTTTATAGTCCTTTCTAGAAACAATTTGCCAGTTCCTGGTCTGTAACCCTTGTCTACCCTCCCTCAAGCTCTGATCTAGATTATTTTGAAGCATATCTCAAACATCATATCATCTATCTACATTTCAGTGCATATTTCTAAGAAATGATCTCATTAAAAATAGAACCACAGCATCATTTATAGTATTTCCTTCATACCATCAAATATTTCATCAATATCTGAATTTCTCTAAGTGTGTCACAGGCTAAATGTCCACCTTAATGGTGTTGTGTCACACATTTGTGCTTAATGGATTTACAACATGTGTGTCTGAAAGCAACAGGAACTGTGCTGCTGCTTCCTCTCAATTCTCTAGTCAGTAAGGTTTGTGGACCCTGACCTGAGGACTATTTGGATAGAATGAAAGGAAAGCCACAGTTCTGAGGATGGCAGGGACTTGCTCTTTTAAGAATTGAGTTAGGATGCTAGCTGTCTTCTTTCCAGGACAGCTCAGTGTTCTGGGAGAACACTTTATACCATCTTTATATGTAATGTAGCTTATTAGCTCTTCCTAAGTTTGAGGCAAAGATCTTTGAGCCCCTGGCTCTTACTTCACTATGTAATATTAACCCAGACAGAACAAAGTGATTTGAATGCTTAGGATGTTATCATTAATTAGTGGGAGAAGTCCTACCCCAGGGAAGTGTAAACCATTTTGAGAGTGACCTTGACACTACAGATAAAGCCATTATCTCAGCAGACTCTGTCACCAGGGAGTAAAGCTGAGCCAAAGGGCTCACTTTATCGTGGTCATCACCTTGTAGCAAATCCACGGGAAACTTGTGTACAAGCAGTCATTTTATCCAGGAGCACAGAGTCCTGAATTGGTAGCAAAGGGAGAATGCAGCCATTCCTCTCTAGTCGCCCTGCAGCGGTAAGCAGAGAGGATCACCGCAGAGCTCCAGGGTGAGGGCAGCCTCTGAGAGGAAAGTGCACCAGACTCTTGCAGGAAAAGCTGCACTCGAGCAAGAGGAGCACGGTGATCAGGGAGGGGCCCGCACGCACAGGGGACAGAAGGCTGTATGAGGGGCATTGTGGGAGCGGCCCTGCGGGAGTAGGTGTGTGTGAAACAAAGATGCTCAGGTGTGTCCTGTGAGCCTGAGGTTTGCGAAAGACCCCCTGCAGCCAAGGACGGTGCAGGGCTGTTGGGGCCTCCAGCTGCTGCTCTGCCTCTAGGAATCTGTGGGAGCTTTTATCGGAAACAAAAGGTGGGATTTAGCTGCTCAGAAATTCACCAGGTAGAGAACTTCTAATGAAACATATGGATCAAGATGTCTTTATTTCCATTTTTCCTGAAAACCCAATAAAATGGTAGTAAAGCTTCATAAAAGAAGCATCAACCAATCGCCTCTCAGCCTTTCGGCTAAGATCAAGTGTAAAAAAAAGAAGCATCAACACTCAAAACTAAATGACTGAAAGAGGACAAACAGCACATAGGAGAGATGTTAATATATTTGTTGCTGATAGATAAATGGCTGAAACCCAGGGCTGCGGTGCTGAGGCTCACAGAGCAGCACAGGGCCCTGGGCAGCCTCAGGAGATGCTGCAGGGCCTGTGGGGAAGGCAAGAACCTCTATGGGGAGAGCAGTTGGGTCCCCAGTGTGTCGGCCATCGCTTCCATCCCTGTGTCATGTGTGTGTGCTGGAATGCACACGCACACACGTGCAGTCACATGACTGCTGCTGACCCTCAGAAGCTCTTCAGAGAGCAGGACCAGCCCTGGGGTCACAAGACATAGCTGTAGGAAGAGATGAACTGTAAAGGAGGTAAATGGGGATGTTGTACCCAGCCCGCAGGACGAGGGCGGCACAGTTTCGTTGTTTGCTGGGGAAAGTGACCCTCTAACGACAGATTGCAGTATTTGCGGACTTCTAATGAGGTAATTTAGCCTCTTCCTGGTCACTGTACAGCAAAGCTGTAGTCAGCAGCCCCACTAATAAAAAAGGAAAAATGTGAATGAACAACCGAAAAACAGCAGACAGAAAAAAAAAAAGAGTTGATGAAAACAATATGGAGCTGGGAACAATAACTTCAGAAAACAAATTAAATTATATTAACATCGTCAAAGATTTGGGAGAAAATATGACCTTGATGGATTAAGAACAGGAGAACTTCGAAACAAACCATGTGGGAAGCAAGAGCTCTTAGAAAGTAATATAAAAAAAATTAAAGGAACAAAAAATTCAGCACAGCGGCTGAAGGATAAGTTTGGAGAAGATGCGTTGTGGAGATCCAGTGTCTCACTAGTAGTTCCAGCAGAAAGAACAGAGAAACAGGATGGGAAATGATCCAAAGACAGAGTGAAATAAAAAAGAAAGTTGCCAGAGGTGAACTAAATAAAGTGTCTGTATTTCGAGGGCCCATCTGAAAGTCCACCCAAGAGAAGATCTCAGGAACTCCCGAGGAGAAAAGGGTGCACAGGGATGTTTGGCAGTCAAGACTGCCACAGCAGCCACAGAGTGGAACCGTCGCACTTCTGATGGCAAAAGATTTTCCTCCCTCGAAATTAGTAATTCCAACATTCAAATGTAAGGGTAGAAGTGAAGGCTCTTCAGGTATGCTGGGCTTCGGAAAGTAACTTTGGTGCCTCTGTTCTCACTAGCTCCTAGATGATAGAGAGGAAGCTGAGAAAGAAGGAGGCACAGGACACAGGGGACCCGGCTGGGAGGCACGGGCGTTCCCCGCAGGCGGCAGGGGCGGGGAACCGGCTCAGGACACGGTGTGGAGCAGCGATGATGTGGGTGTCCAGCTGGCCACCGTAGAGGACGGGACAGGAGAAAGTAGCTGAAGGATTCCTGCCACTGAGAGGCTTCTGATCCCATCAGAGAAACAAGTCCCAAAAATGGGTATCAAATTGATTTAAAGAATGAAGGGGTTTGTTGGCTCATGTAACCGAAACTTCCAGCTATAAGTCCTGATTTCAGATAGAACTGGATCTAACGACTGAACGATCTTTCCAGGGAGCTGGCCTTTCTTCTCATCTTCTGCCCCGCCAGCCGCTGGTCAGCTTCATACTGAATTTGAATCTAAACGTGAAAAAACCACAGATGCTTAAAAACCAAGCAGAAGGAAACAAGGCAATCCTTACCTCCCCAAACAAACAAAACCCAAAAAGGTATACAGATAGGAAATGTATTTATTACAGTATTCTTCAGCACCCTAATACAACCTAAATGTCAGGGTGATTGTCTTCTGTGTTGGAGGGAGGTGAGAGGAGATGATGGTCTGTGGTAGGGGGTAAAGCAACTTCACGGTCTTTTTATAGAAAGCCCACGAGTGACACGGACCATGGCACAAGTAAAGGAGTAAGGAGACACGTTATGTAGAACAGTGAGGCAGGAGATGACTGTTTTTCTATTTTAAATTTTAAATAAATTTATTTTAAATTTTTATTTTTTTGAGATAGGGACTCACTTTGTAGCCCAAGCTGGCCTCGAACTTGCTGCGATCTTCCTGCCTCAACGTCCCGAGTCCTGGGATTACATGTGTGGGCCACCACACCCAGCATCTGTTTTTCTTTGTATCCCTTGCAATCTTTGCATTTGAAAGCTATATATACGTGATTTCTTTGATAACAGATGAAAAATTACTAGTTTAGAGAAATTCTAAGAAAGTGGGATGGCTCCAGACTGTTGTGAGCCTTGAATGCTGACTAAAAGATTCTGGCTTAAGGGCAACAGAAATCAAGGGGAGATTTTGAGCAGACTCAGGACCTTGGGGCCAGTCTAGTGTGGCCTCCGATGGTCATTTAGGGTCTGGACTGGAGTGGGGAGATCAACTCAGGGATGGCTGCAGGGTGGGGAGTGATACAGATCTGGATGTAGAAATGGAAAGTTAAGGATGGAGAGATAACAAAAGCCAAAGAGAGCCAAAGGTGAGTGACAGACCTATGTCAGTGGGGACGACGGCGGCACAGGGTTCCTGCATCCCAGGGTCTGGGAAAGACACGGGGTTGGGAGAGAGGGAACTGCAGTGTAAGTTGCATGCACAACACTAGTTACGTAGGTGAAAGGGTCTGGTAGGAGCCAGGCACAACCTGGGGCCGGCCCAAGGTTCCAGGAGCTGCTTAAGGAGAAGCCACTGTTAGGGCAGCCTTCAGTTCTAAAAGGGTTCTTGAAAAGGTGGCCAAGAAAGAATTAGCCGGGGTGCGAATGGGGATTGTCAGGGCAGGCTGCAGACCTCGGTCGGTCATCGAGTCAGCAGGAAACGGCAGTGGGCAGAGTGACGAGGGACAGAGGGGCAGGGCCTCTGGGCACCCGCGTTAGCTTCCCTGTGTTCTTCAGCCGCTCTCATGCCCACTGTTTTTCAAATTTGTAATGGAAGATTTCACGTGTATACCAAATTTGAGGGACTAGTATAGCGAGTCCTTGTAACTCTCCTGGTTCTAACAGTGACTCGTAATTTGTTTCATTTGATCTCCACTCTCAGGGGAGCTGCTGATGGATTTTAAAGAAACCCCCAGACATCACATTCTTTGATCCATAAATATACCATGTGTGTCTCCAACATGAGGTTAAAATGTATATATCCTACCCAACAAAGCCAGTAACTTTTCCTTACGTCATGTCACACGCAGCTATATCCCATTGTTCCCAATTGTCTTGAAAATGTTTTTGTACCTAATTTGTCTGACTTGTGTCCAATGCTTGGGGCTGATAGGTGTCTCTCTTGATCTGTAATTTTCTCCTTCTTATCAGAATATTTATTTGTTGAAGAACCTGGGCATTTGTCTTACAGATTCCCTCGCCTTTTTTTGGTACGGGGGATCAAACTTGGGATCTTGTGCTTCTGAGGCAGGCAGCAGAACCACTGAGCTAAATCCCTGGCTAAATCTCCTTCTTTCCCTCTGTCTTTCTCTCTCTCTCTCTCTCTCTTTCTGTTTTTGTTTATTTTTTTTAGGGTCTTGCTATGTAGTTCAGGCTGGCCTTGAACTCACTGTGTAGCCCAGGCTGGCCTGGAACTCGAAGTTCTCCTCCTGCCTCTGCCTCCTGAGTGCTGGAATTACAGGTGTGCACCACCACACCTTTCTGTAGAATTTCTTATATTCAGGATGAGGCTGATTGTGACCTTGTAGGCTGTATGACCTGTGTTATCCTGTGTCTTTCCTGTAAGCTGGTAGCTAGACATGGAGGCCTGATTGGATTCAGATTCACCTTAACATTAAAGTGTAATCGGGACTAGGGATGTAGCTCAGTGGTGCCGCACCTGCCTGGCAAATGCAAGGTCCTAATTCAATTCCTGGGGGGGCGGGGACCATTAAGGTATAATCTAAACAGTTCCCAGGTGCTTAGTCACTGAGTTTTAACAACCTTCACTCATGCGACCCATACCTGTCAAGATGTAGAAAACTTCCATCATCCTAGAGAGTCTTCCTTCCTACTTTCTTTTTATCACTTTTCCCCCTGTGTTGTGGAAATTAAGTTACTACACTTACCAAGCTCAGTTGAGGATTAATACCTTCTGTTCCAACCCCATCTTGCCTGGGTTGGGGGGGCATTAAATCCTTCTCCTTGTCCGACTTGTTTTTGTGGGTGCCTTATATCACTTGGGAGTAATAAAAATTGGTATCCAAACTGGCTTAAATGATAAGGGAAGTTTATTGGCTCATGTCACTGAAAATTAGCTAGCTATAAATCCTGATTTCAAGTGAAGTCTGATCTGGTGATGCTGCAGTATCACCAAGGAGCTGGCTTTTCTTCCACTTCTCTGCCCTGCCACCCACTGAGTCAGCTTCATGCAGTACTTAGGTCCAAACTGGTAGCCAGTGGGTCCCAGAACTGTGCTTTGCCACTCACATCCAGGGGCTGTGCTTTTCTTGGCATTCCTAGCATTCCAACCCAAGTGCTGCTATTCACCTTGGTTGTCCCAGCAGAATGTATGTCCTTTCCTGGTCTGGTCAGCTGGGTTGGGAATGGAGTCAGCTTCTCAGAACTGCATGGATCCTGAGATGGAAAGGAGGAGCTCACGGCGAGGAGGGGTGGGTTGCCAGTGAGGCAAGCACAGGTGTTCTCCGTCATCGTCTGTGACGGGGGCCTGCCTGGTGGTGCCTTCCTGAGTGTCCAAGCTCCTGTGTCCCACTTTGCCCATCCTGAGATTTTTTTGTTTTCCTGCATTTTGGGGGCAGGGTGATCACTATATTCATTCTGAGCTTAATGTTTGCAGCTGGGAAAAACGCACAGACCCCCGAGGGAGGTTTTACTACGTGGATCACAACACGCGGACCACCACCTGGCAGCGCCCAACAGCTGAGTACGTGCGCAACTACGAGCAGTGGCAGTCGCAGCGCAGCCAGCTGCAGGGGGCCATGCAGCACTTCAGCCAAAGATTCCTCTACCAGGTGAGAGGCTGGCGGCCTGGAGATTCCACCCATCACCGTGAAATTCCAGTGTTTCTGAGTAGCTCTGGCTCCAACCTCTGAAACGGTGTTCCCCGTCATTTTACCAACACTGGCTTTCTTTCCTGCCCCTCCATCCAAGCCCGTTTTCCGGGCTTGAAGTGCAAAGGTCAGCTTCACCTTTGCCTTCTCTGCACTCTCCAGATCACGGTAGTCACCCGGTCCTTCCTTCGTGTGTTCCTGCTGTGGCGTTTCTTTTCTTTTTTAGTTCATGTCCACGATACGTAGTGCATATACTTGTCACGGAGTACTCATACATGCACATCTTGCATCTTGACTTTTTTTACTCCCCCTCATTCCTACATTGTTTCTCTGGATCTTTACTGTCTAACAGTCTCAAGACTGAAGGACCCATAAAAGCTCATCTAGATCAGGAGTTGGAAGTGAAAGCCCAGGGGCCAGACCAGTCCACCACCTGGCTTTGTAAATAAAGTTTTATTGGAACACAGGCATGTCTGGTAGTTCGTGAGTTAACTGTATCTCCTTTCATGCTACCACAGTGGATCTCTGTTTTGCTATGTAGCTCAGGTTGGCTTTGAACTTGTAATCCTCCCGCCTCAGGCTTCTGAGTGCTGGAATTCTTTGGCCCTTTCCAAAGTTTGTTGACCCGTGATCTTAACCAAGCTCTTTCTAGGTGATGCCTAGTTTTTCTCTGCCCTCTCCTTAGTTGCCAAGACAACCTCTGCATCACTGTCCCTGTTGGCTGGCCTGGCCTGGTCTGTGCTGCCACTTCCTGCCACAGCAGTCTTCATTTGTCACCGTCACTGCATCCCTTTCCTCGCCCAGGTCTTCTGTCACCACCTACTGAATAATGTTTTAGTTTTCTAGTCCAGTGTTCAGGGTGCTCTGGTCCCAGGTTAACTGTTTTCACAGCTTCTCATACTGTGTACCCTGAGGAACCTTCCCAGCCCCACCTCCTGGAGCCTTTGTCTTCTTGTAGCCCAGCCACACAGGCCCTTCAGCAGGGAGAAATGGGGTTCCCAGCTGGCACCCTGATTCTATTTCTTGGAGCACTGTAAGCACAAAGGTTGTTTACGGGGTCACACCAGGCCAAGATGGGGCCGTGTTGCAGTTTGGAAGCATTTGGAGCCGGACCCCAGTTTTTTGTTTTTTGTTTTTTTGAGATAGGGTCTCACCTAGAACTCACTATGTAGCCCAGGCTGGTCTTGAACTCACAGTGATCCTCCTGCCTCAGTCTCCCAAGTGCTGGGATTATAGGTGTGAGTAACCACGCCTGGCTTAGGACCCCAGTTTTAATCAAGTGTTTAACCTTATTTCTATTAGAAATGAATTTTAATCTGACAGCCCATTTCTCAATTGGATACCATCCTAGTTAGATGCTCAGAAAATCCTTAATTCCGTTTAATTAAATAGCAGTCATAGCTGGGCATGGTGGTATGTGCCTGTGATTCCAGCATGTAGGAGGCAGAGGCCGGAGGATTGCGATTTTGAGGCCAGCCTGGACTATGTAATGAGCTCAAGCCTAGCTTAGACCTTATAGCGAGATACTGTCTCAAAAAAACAAACAAACAAAAAACGTAGTAGTTGTTTGTCCTCTTTGCCTTCCTTTGAGGCTCTTTTGCTGTTCCTTTGAAGCAGGAGCTCTCCTGTCAACTGTAAATCATGGTAGCATCTCCCTCAGGGAGCTCGCCTGTTCTGTGGGGCTGACTGCTCATGAGAAAGTGGAGAAGCACAGGCGGACCCCAGTTCTTTTTCATGGGTGGGGAGAAAATGTGGGGTTTGCCACATGCAGTTGCCTTGAAGGTTACGAGTCGTGCCTGTCTACAGCCCGTGCCTTGGTGGCCTTACCCAGTCTGTCACTGTCTCCTGTCCTTACGCCTCCCTGCCCACCCCATGACATGCCTGCTATCTAGCTCTGGTCCGCTTCGCACATTGGACAGGATCTGGTCCTTCTCTGTGATGCAGAGATCATTGCCCTTGAGCCAGGCCCCAAAGACTACCTGCCATTTTCTTGAGGGGTCCTGTCTCCAAAGCCGGGGGGATCTAGATTATCTTTCTTTGACCTGTCTTTTCTTTGGTTTAGAGAAAAGGGCACAACTTAGGAATTTCCCATGGCTTTGTCTCCCTGATCGTCCAGCTTCTCTAATTAAAAAATAATCCGTTAAAGGAATCTTTGTCTCCTTTACTGGGCACCATGTAGGTTCTATAAGTGGACTGAGATGCTGGCTGTCCAGGTAGGAAGAGTCACAGGTTCTGATTCTTGTGTCCACTTGGTCTTTTTGGACCAGTCTTTCTTTTTTTCCTGTTTCTCTCATTTTAGCACCATCATGCCAGGCTGAGAGAGGTAGAACTTTGGCTTGGAGGGTTCCCTAGAAGTAAAAAATGAAGTGCAAAAAACTTTCATTCTGTATATTTCTAAATGGTTTTCTCAGCATAGCTGGAGACGTGGGCGGATTCTGCATGGTGGCGGGGCATACCTTTTCTCTGTGGAACAAGTCTTACATTGAAAAATATGGTGGGAATCTTTTCTGGGTCTGCTCTCAATGTCTCTCTGTTGCTTTTCCTCCCCCTTTGGGTTTGGTTTTCCCTCTCGTTTGCTGTGGTGCCACGTCCTGGTTACAAGTAAGAAGGGTTGCTTTCATACAGTTATTCTGGGGTTTGGCCTTGGCCCAGGGTTTGACTCGGAAGACTTAAGCGCTGATACTATACTGGCAACATCTCGCCTTCTCTTGCCGGGCTTAAACTGAGACCTTGTTCTTTGCTGCACCGCAGAGAACATGAAACACGGTTTGTAATAGGAGTCCAGGGAATCCCAGGTTGCAGGCGCCTGTTATTCCTGCCCGCTCTCTGCTTCCACACACACCTTTCCCATGTTCTCTTAGGTTGTTCTTCTCCTTGTTTCTGGCAGGTTTTCCTTTCCTATGCCTAGTGTGCCTTTGTCATTTGTGACCACTGTGTGAGTTACTGCTCGTTTTCACCCATGGTTTCCTTCTGCCCTGTGTCCCTGCCGCGCCCACTGGGGATGCCAGCACAGTCACGCACAGTGGACCGTTGTGCCGGGACGTCGTGCAGCCTGCTGTCTCCGTGGCACCTCCACCTTTGTGCCTCTTCGTTCTTCCCGAATGGCCAAAGAGGAAGCTTGGGTCTGCAGGCCCAGCACAAACCCTTCTGTGGCTCCCAACTGTGGGCTCCAAGCCATGCTCTCCCGAAGTAGATGACTCAGGGCTTACTCTGCACAAAATACTTCCAGTTGCATCCCGGGCACCCAGGTTTTGTTCTGAGTGCCTCGGTGCCGGGGGAGGAGGGAGCTATGCCCGCCTTCCCTCTGCAACCTTTATGCCCTTCCCAGAACCTTTCCTGCCCTCGGCTGTATTTGCTAGACATTCTTTATTTCTGAGTTTGTATCTTAAAATATTGCTGGGACTTTGTGTGTCGTCCCCAAGGGACTTGAACTCACTTGAGCTCTCTGGCTTGTGGCCTACACCCCAGATCTTCCAACTCTGGGGCATTCAGGAAAATGATCCAGCCCCGCTCCTTTCCATTCCTAGGCATAAAAGATGCTGCCTGTGTCTTAGGGTGACCCATGCTCCCCGGGATCTCTTTTGGCTATGTTTCTCCTTGCCCTGTGTGCTTTTCCTGCTCTGCTCCCTGTGGTAACCTGGGAAGAGCAGAAGCAATTGGTTGGCTTGTTGGCGGTGTGGAATTTTTGGCTTTTGGTTTTCTGGCCATCATGTGTTGCTTGTGTTTTTTGTTTCTCCTTGGCTTCTGCTTACTCCCTTCCTTATGGTTTTTCTTTTCTTATTTTTTAAGTTGTACTGTGTACCTCAGGGAAGAAATATCCAAAATAGTCAAGTGCTTTGCTTTAAATATAAAAAGTAAAAATCATATGAATGTTCGATTCTGTTGATTCTGATTTTGTATGTTGTTTGTGTTTATCAATCTCTGGTCTTTCGCTTTCCTATCTGCTGCCTCTTTTCTGCCCTTCTCTCAGGTTGAGGGCGGTGAGTGAAGTTCTGTTATGATAAGAATGGGAGGGTACCCCACTTTATCAAAAGAAGGTTAATGCTGTGTGAAGTTAATAAAAAAAATGAAAGCAATAGCCAGTGTGGTGAAATATCCATGTAACCCTAGCACTCAAGGGGGCTGAGGCAGGAGGATCACAAGTTCAAGCCTAGCCTAGGCAACCTAATGACTTAGCAAGATTTTGTTTCAAAATAAAAAATATAAAAAGGCTTGGGGATGTAGCTCAATGTAAAGGTCCTGGGTTCAATTCCCGGTTTAAAAAAAAAAAAAGCAATGATTAAGAAATGGATGATGGGCTGGGGTTTTAGCTCAGTGGTGCTGCCGTCTGTCTTGTAAGCACAAGGTCCTGAGTTTGATCCCTGGTACCAAAAAAGAAAGAAATGGATGCTAAGTTGGACATGGTTGCACATGCCCAGTTACTTGGAAGGCTGAAGCGAGTTCAAGACCAGCCTGGTCTAAATAGTGAGAGAAAAAGGAAAGAAAAGGATTGATAAATATTTTTGTTTCAGTTCAGTGCTATCAATAAAGACCTTTGGTCCATTGATTTGCACAACTAAGTAGAGAAGCCCACTTGGTTGGTAGTTGATTTTTACCAAAGTGCCTGGACACTTTATAGATTATCCACTCCTGAAAAGAGGCCCAGAGCAGCAGACCCTTGTGTACCAAATGCCTCTTTTTTGTTTGGTTTGGGTTTTTGAGACAAGGTCTCACTATGTAGTTCATGCTGGCCTTGAACTCACTGTGTAGCCCAGGCTGGCCACAAACTTGTGGCAATTTTCTTGCCTCAGCCTCCTGAGTGCTGGGATTACAGGCATGGCCACCATGCCTGGACTCATTTTAAACTTCTTAAAATTACCTTTTGCAAAGTCATCGCTAGAGCTCGGAACTTAGCTAAGGCATTGTATTTGGCCTTATTGTCTGAAATAGATGTGTCCTTGTATTTGTTCCTTTGCTTCTGATGCCAAGGGTTTTTCAGTGACCATCTCATGTATTAGAACAGAGCAAGGCTGGAGAGGAATTTGGATTTTATGAGAAGTTACACCAGCTCACCCCCCACCCCTCCTACACATAAAACACACACCAAAATGATTGCTGTGAGTTGGGGTGATGTGTTTCAGGAAGGGGGCCAATCGGAGCTGTGATGCAGATTGTAAGCACATGACTGGCAGAAATGGCCCTAGGTGGAGGCCAGCTTCCCCCACTTCACACAGCTCCGTTCCATGGGGTAAGGGTTCCTGCTGAAAGGGGCTCTGTCCCATCCTATGGTTCAGACTTAAACGTCTTTGTTGGAACTTGCTAGGAAGCGGTGCTCGTGTTGCCACCTTAGAAAGAAAGTTCCTCTGTCCCTTGGTGGGGGCGGTGGCGGGAGTGCTGTGGAAGGGGCTTGTGGCCGGCCGTGGGGCTCCGCCAATATTTGCTCAGGGCGAGACTGAGCTCCATTCATCCCCCTGCCTGTGTGTGGCTCTGTCGCCCCCAGATAGGGCCAGCCCGGCAGCCTGAAGTCTGCATTTAGAATTTGATCCCATAATATAATGATTAAATTTTAGTAAGTGAAATAAAAATGCTTTCAGAGGAAAAAGAAAAAAAAGAGGGAAAGAGCAAACGGAACAATACTTGTTTTATTTAACCACGAAATCTTTTTGACAGCACCCCTTCCCCAAAGGATGCAAGACCTCTCCATCCCTTGCAGCCCTTCCCTGAATTAGGTGTGGGGGGTCACTAATGCAAGGAGAGCCCTAAAGTCCCGCAGCTGGGCCCCCCTTCCCTCACCCCTCTCCCCTTCCCTCACCTCCCCAGACAGGCGAACACAGAACACAGAGCAAGTCCAGGTTCAGGAGGGGGAGAATAAAGGTGCTTTGTGAGGGGAAGGAAAGCATTCCTGGGGGAGGTGAGGGCTCGGGCCTGAATGTGCCCTCAGTCTGGTGTGGCTGCTGCGCCCGCCCGGGGAGGGTGGTGAGGGCCAGCGGTGAGGTGGAGGGAGGAGGGCCTGGCCCAGCCAGGAAGCTCGGCGTGGGCAGGGCTTGTGGGAATGATTTCATTGGAAAGGCCTGCGATATTTTTTCCCCTCCCGTGTGTGGTTCTTGGAGAAAGTTGGAGGTGGTGGTGATTTCAGTTGCCTTGGCTGTTGTGAGCAGGAGTGGAGCAGTGGGAGCTTGCGGGGCTGCCCTGCTCTGAGCCCTCCTGACCTGCCCTGCCGGCTCTCGCCTCTGCCACCCTGGCCACCTTCCGCTGCGCACACCTCTCCTCCGCTTGCTCCACCCTTCCCGAAGCCCTCTTGGGTTCTCAGAGCAGAGTTCTTGGCTTCTCTTTCTTTCCTTCCTTCCCTTTTCTTCCTTCCTGTCTCTCTCTCTCTCTCTCCCTCTCCTCTCTCTGCTTTAACAAAGACTTTTGAGAGGAGCTCATGCCACCTAAGGTCCTGCTGCATCCTCTCCAGAGTACTAAAATGCGGAAGTGAGTTGTTGGCATTTTGATTTTTGGTGATTGATGTATTTTTAACCAGTGGCTTTTCTTCTAACCTCTGTATTCCTGTGTTTCTTCTGTTTAGCCTTCAAGCACTTCGACTGACCATGATCCCCTGGGCCCCCTCCCTCCTGGCTGGGGTAAGTACTGAGCTCTACCTCTGTGCCCTCCGCCTCCTGGGCCGAGGACATCTCCTGAGCATCTTCCTCCTCGCTCCCATCCCACGGCTCCCGTGCCACCGCCCACGGCACACCTTCCGGGGATGCGTGGCCGGCAAGGCAAGTGATGAGCTGGCAGCCTGAGGGAGACAGAGCTGAGCCATGCCCTGTTAGCATTCACAGCGACAGCTAAGGGCGTGTGACCCTAAGGGAGAGGTGCCCAAGGTACTGTGCTGTTGGGGTTTGGTCCTCAGTGGCTCCTCTCACTGAGATATGTTGACCCTGTCTGATTTCCAAATGGACTTACTTCAGGTCTCTGTCTCTGTGTTTGGAAGGAACCCCCTTAACAAACCTTTCTTTGCAGCTGAGATGTTGGAGGACTCCAGCCTCAGCTTGACTAACAGGAGCCACATTTTTATTTGCACCACAGCTATGAATGAGGCCGAAAGGAAGTTGAGCACTGATTCTGGGTGGTGATTCCAAAGCGTGGCACTGCTGGGTCCTCTTCGCTGTTAGCTGCCTCTTCCCTCTCCCAGCCCTCTAGGAGAGGTTGAGGGCCTCGTGGCTGTTCTAGGAAGGAGTGACCATGCATAACAAGGGTCATTAGTGGTGAGAGCACCGAATCCTGACCACTAGACCACAAGGAGGCCATCGGATCATTAGCGATGCTGTGACTGATGCGTTCTGCAGCTCTCTGAGCTGGGTAGGGTTTGGGTCAGGCCTGCCAGAGCCCCCGAGCACCCAACAGGGCAGTTTTCACAGGAGTCCACAGGTGTTCGGCTTCATGTATCAGTTGGGCTAGCAGAGGCGGTATGTGCTGGCTTGGGGGCGTTCACAGATTATGTTAACCCCGGGTGAGGTGCACTCCCCACAGAGGTGGGGAGGCACTGCTGGGAAGCTGGCAGGGGCAGGATGGGCATTGCCTGGAGGAGCCTGGCTCTGGGGCTGGGTCCCCTTGAGACACCCAGCCTCTCTCTGGGAGTGATGGAAGAGGTGGTATCACTCCCAGGCGCACAGGACATCACTTTGTCCATTAGCACCTCTCTCCAGGGGGCTGAGGGGCCTGCCCTTCCAGTGGGAGATTCCAGTAGCAAGGCTTGCACAGATGTGTTAATTTTCACCTCAGCTAGGTGATCCTGGTGTACCCAGGTGACGTGCCTAGCTCCCTGGACTGAAGTAAAGCCATTGGTATCTCACGGGTCAGCAGTAGGATCCTCACACAGACAAGAAAAGTGCATCAGTGACCTGCAGCCCAGGACCTGGAGTTTGTTTCTGGCTCAGTAGAGGCAGGCAGTGTAGCCTGGAAAGTGAGTTTATTTCTGAAGCAGTTTTGGTAAATAGTGGTCATCAGTAAGTAGCTGTATAGAGACCTGAAAACTGCTCCCTCATACTAAATGGGAAAATATCTTAGGTAGGAACAGAGGAGACACAATCGGAGCCAGTACTGTTGAACAGTCAAAAAACTAGTCCAAAAGTAAGAAGAACATTCTGGCCACAGGCCAGGGAACCTTCCCAACTGCAATCCTCTGGGCGTGGCCTCGGTGTCCCAAGACTGCGGCATGGGTCTCCGCCTCCTCAGGGATGGTGAAAATGGACAGGAAGAGCCGCCAAAACAAACAGGAATGGCACTGATGGCGAGCCTGCCTGTGCTGCTCCTGCCCTCTGTTCCCAGTCCCTTCCTGCCACCCCGCAGCTGTCCCCACACACAGGGGCTCCGGGGCAGGCCCCTAGGCACGTGATGAATGTACTTGAGTCCTCTTGGTTCTGGAATGGGTGCAGCAGTGCTCCCTGGAGGACCCCCTACCCCACCCCATCATACCCAGTGGGCCCTCAGGGGGGCCCTGAGAAGCTTGCACTGCACCAGCGCCAGGGCTGATGGGCAGGTCCCCCAGCCCAGTGGTTGGCTTTGGCTTTGGCTTTGGACCTGGGTAGAGCAGCCAGGGAGGATCCAGTTCCCAGCAGCAGCTCCTGGCCTGGGAGTGGCCGTCTCTCAGGAGCCTTTGGGGATGTCTGCCGCCTGCTACTGGTCACACATCTGGTCTCGGGGTGGTAGCTCCGCAAAAGTTTCCACCGCCTCCTGTTCTTTCTCTCCTTTTGTCTGTATATTTATTTTACTTTATTATTTTCCCAGCTTTTTTGAAGTGTGATTGACAGATAGCTTCTGTGTTTGTAAAATCCCAGTCATGCAACAGACAGACAGCAAGTCAGTCAGTCAGAGGCAGGAACTCATTCTGGTGATGAGGGCTGGTCTCCCCAGTTCTGCCCCGCTTTCAGCTTCGGGTGTCCTGTCACTTCCATAACTGATGGCTGCTTCTTTAACCACACTCTGTTGTTGTAAAAGAGTTGCACAGCCATTGGCGTTGTTTCCAGGACAGAAGCAGCTTGGCAGGCTCAGGAACTGCCGGGGGAAGGTGGCCCTCTTGGCGTGGGGAGCCCTGCTCCTGATTCCCCACCCACCTGGAGCTGAGGGGTTACTCTCTGTCCCTGCCTCTTGGGGTCAGAGGGTGGCAGGGTGACTGTGCTGTGCACAGCTGGATTCAATTACACCTCTAGTCCAGGCTGGCTGTCCTCTATGCAGCCGCACCGCCCCTTCCCTCCACAAGCCAGACAACCACAGAAACAGGGATGGTGTGTGTCCCTCCCTTGCCTTCTTCCTAGTGACAAATATGAGTGTGCCAGGCTTTGGTCAGCTAAACTTCTCTACTAGGTTGGTCACAGGGCTTGAGATTCAGGCCCAATGCCCAGGCGGTGGGAGCTGAGGGAAATGGCCTGGGAGTCTGATCGCTTTCTCTCCTTTCTCTCCTTTCTTTCCTGTGGCAGAAAAGAGACAGGACAACGGACGGGTGTATTACGTAAACCATAACACGCGCACTACCCAGTGGGAGGACCCTCGGACGCAGGGGTGAGGACTTGGGATTGTGGGGGCTTCTGCAGTTCCAGCAAGGGCCATGGCACCCATGTTGGGGGACTCTGACTAACACACAAAGTCCCCGAAACTCTCAGGATATGGTGTCAGCCTAAAGGGCTTGGGTGCTTGTTGTCTCAGGATCGCTAGTGTCCACTAGGGCCAATGCCATCTGCTCAGGCCTGGCATTTTGGCCGGGAGACTTCTTTTTGGTCATGACTTGGGTCCTTGCAGTTTGGGTCAGGCCAGGTGCATATCCTCGACACCCCCCAAGGGCCCTGTAGAGCCTGGTGAAAGCGGAGACAGAGCAGCAGTGGAGGCCCGCAAGGTGGGCTGGCCCTGAACCCTTCTTTCTTGTGTTTCCAGGATGATCCAGGAACCAGCTCTGCCCCCAGGATGGGAAATGAAATACACCAGCGAGGGAGTGCGGTACTTTGTGGACCACAATACCCGCACCACCACCTTTAAAGATCCTCGCCCAGGGTTTGAGTCGGGGTAAGGACACCCACAGGCTACAGCGGTGTCCTCAGCACCGGCCCATCCTGACCTGGGCAGCCGGCTCTCAGTGACTGCTGTGGCTGCGTTGTGCTGCTCACTGCTCTCTAGTGGCTGATTGTGATGCTGCCTTAAAGGGAGCGGGAGGAAGGGACGAGCCTATTCATCCAGAACAGAAGTCTTTCTCTAAAACCAAGAAGTCTGATGTTGTTTCAAGTTTTTCTTTTGACTTTTCAACGCTCTTAGTGGCAGTTTCTTCCCTTCTTTTATGCCTTATTTTATTCCACTTTAAGTGCAGAAAGCATTAGCTTTCTCTAGTTCTAAATAACGACAAGTGGTTCATTTTTTGAACAATCATGTGGGTTTCAGGACATCTTTGCTCTTCCCAGGACGAAGCAAGGTTCCCCTGGTGCCTACGACCGGAGCTTTCGGTGGAAGTATCACCAGTTCCGGTTCCTCTGCCATGTGAGTGCTGGTTCGGGGCTCCTCTGGAGCTGGGGATGTTGAGGTTATTGCCGCCCGATTTCTCGACGCCGCACAGGCATTGGGACGTCTCTGTCATAGGTGGGGGAAGGATGCCTGTCTCACCCTGGACTGGTCCTCCTGGGGTGGGACAGGGCTGCCTGTGTGTCCAGACAGGAGGCCACAGTGAGCGGACACCCTATGTGGCCCTGACATGAAGCTCTGTGATTTTCTTTTCAGTCCAATGCCCTCCCTAGCCACGTGAAGATCAGTGTTTCCAGGCAGACGCTCTTTGAGGATTCTTTCCAACAGGTTAGAGACTAATGGTGGACAGGCAGGCCCCCCCCTTCCACCTACCTGTCCCCTGTTGCACGTTCTGTGGGACCCACACTGTGGAGTTTCCAGGGCAGGGGCCTCGGTGACCTTGTCTTCTGGACAGCAGGCCTTAGAGTCTCCTGCTCCTCACCCCTACCTGCCTCGCTGGGGAAGGGCAGGCTGGCCAGATGCTCTGTCTCCCCAGATCATGAACATGAAGCCCTACGACCTGCGCCGCCGCCTCTACATCATCATGCGCGGTGAGGAGGGCTTGGACTACGGAGGCATCGCCAGGTGAGCCTGGCCTCCGCACTGTCCCCTGGCGGAAAGCCGCCCCTCCCTGCTCACGCTCACTGCCAGAGCTCTCTTGCGTCGTCAGGAGGGGCATGGAGTGGGTGTCCAAGCCATCTAACCCTGGCCGGTCCCAGAGGATGCTGGAGCAGGGACAGGCATCGGCGCTTCAGGTGCCTGGCCGCAGGGAGAAGGGGCTCGTGGGCGAGGACAGGGCTCAGGGTGTGGCGCTTTCCCAGTCTACAGGTCATTATTTCCTACTTTCACAACCAGGCCAGCTTCGTCAGTGGGCCGTGGCCACATAGGTGTCCCTTAAAGTTGACCCTAGGCTTCCCTTTGTCCAGATACCGCTGGGGCAGGCAAAGGCAGGTGTCTCAGCAGGCGTGAGCTGTGGCACAGTCAAGGGCCTTGATCCATACTTAGCTGCACGTCCTGTGCATGGACCAATACAACAAAAATGGCTAAAGCGGCCCTAGCAAGAGCCCAGAGCACTGCTCAAAAGGTAGCAGGGGTCTGGACCAAAGGGCGGAAGGTCCCTGAGGCCTGTGCAGCCCGCCGCCTCTCAAGGTGTGGGGATGTCTTCTCACCTGGTGTCGGGCTAACTCGCTTCTGGTCTTCTGTTTGCTGCTGGTGTTGCCTTCTGTGTTGGCCTCCTGTGGATGGATTGTTCTTTTCCATGGTGACCTCCTCTCCAGGCTGTGCTTGGTGGGCTTCTGGTGTGGCTCCGCCCTGTGTGTCTCTCTCTGTGTCCTGCCAGTGGTTTTACCCTATGGTAGGTTACGTCATGCTGTTCTACCACAGGGTAGAACCACGGACAGGATACCGGGGCACCCTCTGCATCGAAGGACTCCTCGTCTGCGCAGCCACAAACAGCCTGGCATTCGGGGACCGGCCCCTGGGATGTCCCCCTGCCGCTTTAGCTCCAGCCTGACAGGACTGTGGGTTCTGGCCTGAGGCTTGTGCCTCGCATGCAAATAGACGCCAGGGTGTGGGTGCTGGTTCAGATGAACGCGTGGCCGAAAGCTGTGGTCACGGGTCTGGGGTGGCAGAGGACAGTGCAAAGCAAGTGAGATGCTCACGCTGTGGTGGTGGGAGTGAGGTTTCAAATCTGGAGGCAGCACGAATCACGGAGTTTTCGTGTTTTGGGAGTTGGGAACATGTTACCATAGATTCGCATTATGCCAGCCACTCAGGATGGAAGCAGTGTGGTCAGTATCACACAGCACTGTGGCAGAAAACATTGTTATAAATGTACACGTCTGTGCTATTTGAACACGGTGCCCTTGTGCAGTGCACAGTCCACACAGCTGTGTGTGGTGGCCCAGAGCCCCATTAGACTCTCTGGATATTGTGATGCAGAGTCCTAAGATGCACCCCACGGAGCTGATGGGCACACAAGCAAGTTTTCCTCAGCACCACCCCCAAGTGTCATTGTGCTGGTTCAACCTGGGTCTAAGCCAGGCCGGCTCCCTGACCAGCCTGAGATACAGGTCAGCCCAGCACTGATCACCCGGGCTTAACTCCTGGCCCCGTGACCGCAGACTCTCGAGACACTCATCAGAGTCCTGAGCGCCGTGCAGTGTGCGGAGGGACCCATCGTCCTGCTTCTTCTCCCCCGTCCCTCCTAGAGAGTGGTTCTTCCTCCTGTCCCACGAGGTGCTCAACCCCATGTACTGCCTGTTTGAGTACGCCGGGAAGAACAACTACTGCCTGCAGATCAACCCCGCCTCCTCCATCAACCCCGACCACCTCACCTACTTCCGCTTCATTGGCAGGTTCATCGCCATGGTAAGGGTGCCCTGGTCCACAGTGCCGGGAGCGCCGGCCTCCTTCTCACACCCTTCTTCCTCCTGGTGAAGTGTGAGGGGCGTCACTGAGACCTCCAGGAAGGGCAGCACCCGCGCTCTGGGCCGCACTAAGAATGTGAAAAGCTGCAGGTGGCTGTGGGGAAGCCAGAGCCTCCTCAGCGACCGCCTGGGCTCTCAAGGGTTTCTCATATTGATTTGGGTAGGGTTTGTCAGGCGGAAGCCCGGGCTCCTGGCCACAGCCTTGACTTTGTGCCAGGTGTGCACCTTCACGTGGCATTGGGATGGCAGCTGAGGAAGCCACAGCTGCCCGCCCGCTGCTTGACTTTGTTTTTGGTACTGGGGATTGAACTCGGTACCTTGAGCTTGGGAGGCAGGCGGTGGCACCAGAGCTAAATCCCTGGCCCTGCCTGACGCTGGAAGGTGCCTCCGCCTGTCACAAGCCATGGGTGGGAGTGTTTGGGGATGCCCAGCCCTGAGGTCTCCAGAAGGGACTTGGAATCCATGTGGGTTTAGAACACGACCCTAGTAGACTGGCTGGCATGGGCTAGGGGGTGTCTGTCCCAAGGAGGGCCACACCACATCCCCTGTGGAGTCTTCTGTGAGTGGGGACCCAGCACTGAGCAGAGGACCTGGCTGGAGACTTCAGGGCTGACTTTGCTTCTTTCCCTAACATCCACAAGTCCTGCCCCGCTCCCCTCAGGAGAACCTGGGCCCAAGGGTCTATGACTAAATATGGTCTTTGATTCATCTAGAAGTTCTTGGCCAAGATAGCAGCTCCATTCTTCCCAGGTCTAGAGACTCGCCTGGCCCAGCAGCCAACAGGACAGACCCGCGAAACCCTAGACTATTACTCACTGCTGGCCGCCAGCTTACGCCCTCCATGGCGTCTGCATTATTTTTGGCTGCCTCTGCCACCGGCTCGGAGCTCCAGTGAGTCAGGGCTGCCACCTGGAGCTGTTCTGAGCAAGTCTCCCGTGTGAGCGTGGTGCAGGCCTCTGCTAAACCAAGAGCAGCCTGGCCGGGCGCATCCCTGTGGCTGCAGGGCCAGATGAGATTCCCTTCCGAGACCCCGTCAGGGTGAGGGGCTCATTTCCCAGACTGCCTCAGGCTTTGGAGGCAGCCGCTGCTCAGGCTGGGTCAGGGAGGGAAGAAGCCGGGAGCAGTGGCCTTTGATAAGAGCTTCCCGGGGCCTGCCTCATCCTCCCAGGCTCTGTACCACGGGAAGTTCATCGACACCGGCTTCACCCTCCCCTTCTACAAGCGGATGCTCAACAAGAGACCCACACTGAAAGACCTGGAATCTATCGACCCTGAGTTCTACAACTCCATCCTCTGGATCAAGTGAGTCCCTTGCTCGCCCTGCACGCAGGAACTCTGGCAGGGCAGCGGGCACCCTGGCCTGGTGTGACTGCCCACCCGCCGCGCTAAGTGCCTGGTGACGGGCAGCTCCTGCCGGATGGTTCCACTCTTGCATCAGGAGATGTCCCTAGCCACTGTCTAGGAATCTGGGCCACCTGTGAGTCCTAGGTGTCCCGTGGGTGCTAGAAGAAAGGAGTAGGGCAGGACCAAGGGAGACCCTGCCAAGGTGGACGTCTTGCCCCCCAGAGAGAACAACCTAGAGGAGTGTGGCCTGGAGCTGTTCTTCATCCAGGACATGGAGATCCTGGGCAAGGTGACAACCCACGAGCTGAAGGCGGGCGGCGAGAGTATCCGTGTCACGGAGGAGAACAAGGAAGAGTATATCATGTAAGCCGGCCCCGGTGGGTTTCCTGCTCTGATCTGGGATCCCCCCACTGGCCAAGCTCCTGCATGGCGCCCATAGCTCTCCATGGGTTGGAACCTCTCAGTTGCACCTGCCTTTCTGGTCACGTGATAACATGAGTTGGGGGATGGGGCCCCAGCCCATGGTCAGCAGCTCCTGCTTGCTCTTTTTCCCACGTGGGAGACATCCCAACTACTGGAAATTTCTCCTGAAGAGGCATAGTGTAGGTGTCACCACCTTTCTCCTGCCTGAGGATTTCTGTGTCCTGTGTGCTGACAGCCACCAGCCCGTGTGCGCTGGCGTGCAAGCCTCCTCCGCGCCTTCTCCAGGCCTTGGTGTAGTGTTTAATCTCCATTCTTCTGCACATCTGCAGTTCAGTGAGCAGCGGGGCAGGGGACAGGAGGGATTTCAAAGATTTGGGGGAATTGTGCAGTCACCGTGAGGTCTTCAGGGATGTGAGGTTTTCTGGGGCCTTCTACACACTGGTCTCAGTGTACCAGAGGTGCCGACGATGCCATCTGGGCGGGCGGGCTGGTTGTGCACCTGGCAGGGTGTGTTGGGCCCCAGCAGTGGCTGGTCTTTGGTTTTAGGCTTTTGACCGACTGGCGCTTCACCCGTGGCGTGGAAGAGCAGACCAAAGCCTTCCTGGATGGCTTCAATGAGGTGGCCCCACTGGAGTGGCTGCGCTACTTTGATGAGAAAGAGCTGGAGGTGAGCATCAGAGATGTTGGGACCCCAAGCCCCTGCTTCCGGTGCCTCCGGCTGTGTGATGTGCTCCCTGTGCACCCATAGAAACCCACTGGCCGAATCCCAGACTTGAGCAGTGTGGAGGTGGAGTGCAGACGGTGCCTGTTGGGGTCTTCAGCCGTCACTCTCCCTGGACACTTGTGTTGAGAGAGCAGGGACTTGTGTCACCCATATTATTAAAACTTCTGGAAAAAATAGCCAGTTAAAGAGATTTGGAGTATTTCACCTGCTAGCTGGTGGATAAGGCATCCCGGTAAGGAGCTGGCACCCGCCGCTGACAACCTCCTCCCTGCCCCTCCTCCCTGCAGCTCATGCTGTGCGGCATGCAGGAGATTGACATGAGCGACTGGCAGAAGAACACTATCTACCGGCACTACACCAAGAACAGCAAGCAGATCCAGTGGTTCTGGCAGGTGGGTGTCGGGTCCCGTCTCTGCCGTACTGGGGCCAGGTGTCTTGGCAGGGACATTTTCACAGCCACTGTAAGAGACGGGACCTGATTAGACCTCAGGGTCAAGGTCCTTCATCTTTGATACTCCTGGCCTTCCCCAACTTGCAGAAGGGGACGATGGGAGGTTGTCAGTGGTCAGCCTGGCAGGGGGCCCAGGCCTCTGCAGGAAGGAAGTGCAGCTGCCGTTGGTCCTCTGGTTTCCTTCCATCAGATGGCGCGGGAAGGCAGGCCCTTGGCTCCAGAAAAACAGAATGAGCTTGTCACCAGGATTCAGTGGCCCAATTCCTTTGTATATGTGTGGATCCCATTGTTATTATGAAGTATAGTATTACATATAAAAAAAGAATTACTTATAACAGCTATCCTTAGTGTGTGTGTGCGTATGCGTATAAATTTTTTTGTGGTGAACATTCACATAAAATGCAATTCACCATCATAGATTTTTTAAGATACACAGTTCGGCGTCTCCAGTACCTTCACAGTGTTGTGCGCCTACCACTACTAATCTCAGAACAGTTTATCTCCCGATAAAGGAACCTCCCTGAGACCAAGAGATGTTGCATGACTGGTGGGAGTGTTCTACAGACAGAGCGCCTTAGAGAGAGCCTGGCCGAGCTCTCCTGGGGCATGGTTTTGTGTCTTCTGCCTGGAGCAGGCCCGGCTGGCCTGCAGATTCTGTGTTAAGGCAAAGCACCAGGGCAGGGTGGGTCTCCGGACTGTGCCTTGTTTGTGGCCTTGCAGGTAGTGAAGGAGATGGACAACGAAAAAAGGATCCGGCTCCTGCAGTTTGTTACCGGAACTTGCCGCCTGCCTGTTGGGGGCTTTGCTGAGCTCATTGGTACGTTTTTCTGTGTCTTGCTGGTGCCCTGGCTGAGGGCGAGGACCCTGCTGTGGGAAGGTGGTTCTGCTCACAGTCGGTGCCTTTGCCTTGGATAACAGGGAGCAACGGTCCGCAGAAGTTCTGCATTGACAAGGTTGGCAAGGAAACCTGGCTGCCCAGAAGCCACACCTGGTGAGCAGGCTGGTTTGGTGGGAGGAGGGCGAGCCTCAGGGACCAGATGAACTCCTCAGCCCGGTGGACATGGCAGCCTCAGGGCCTCCACTCTGAGGACATTTGCATGGCTCTGGGGGTTGGGTAGGAGAGGTGGGCGTGTTCGTCTGCCTCTGTCTGCGCCTCAGGCCTCTGGTCTCTGTTGTGTTCCTGAGGGCGAGAACTCCTGTATTCGCACCTCGCTCTTCCCGGCTAACCTGGGGTTCCAGGAACTTATGGCATGGATCGCGACACAGACATTGAGCTCACTGGGCACGGCAGGGCTGTAGGAGCCCTGGCCCCTCGTGACCACTGTTCTGCCTTCGCCTCTCCACAGCTTCAACCGTCTGGATCTCCCACCCTACAAGAGCTACGAACAGCTGAAGGAAAAGCTGCTGTATGCTATCGAGGAGACAGAGGGCTTTGGACAGGAGTAATTGAGGCCACCCACCCACGCCCCCAGCACACACGTAGTCCCGAGTCCTCCCCACCTGAGAGTCCGCTGGCCACACAGCCTCAGGAGGTCCCTGTGGGTGGCGGCCCTGCATGGGACCACACTGCCAGCCCCCGATGGCAGAGCTTCCCTCCTACCCGCAGGTGGCAGTCTGGAATAAAGCCCCGAGTCACCTTGGCCCCATCACCCATCGTGGAGTCCAAGAGTGACCAACCCTCTGCAAAACCCTCCCCTTCCCCTTGGGCCAACCTGGGTGTGCGTGAGTGTGAGGGGAGGTGCCCGGTGCTAAAGAGCATCAGAAGCCTGGGCCTCATCCTACTTAGAGGAGGAACCTGGCCACTTCAGGTGGCTATTCTGGGATGAGAAAGCCAGGTCTTTGCCAGCAGAAGAGGCTGTCTTAACTAGAACTTTCTGGGACCTGTATGAAACACAGGTCTGAGGAAAGACTGTCTTTGCTTCCCTTTCCAGCTGGTTCCAGCTGCAGAGGCTGAGCAGCAGGGACTGGGGGCCCCAGCTCATCCCTCTCAGCAGACAAAAGGGTTGGACAAGACACCTGCCTGGGGATCAGTGTGGGGAAAACAGCAAACTCCCTCAAAAGTTGTCCTTTTACATAAACTTGAAGCTTTTGTGTGTAGGGTTGCTTTTCGTTTTGCTTTTGATATGCTGCTGCCACTTTCCGTGGAGGACTTGGGGCCCCATGTGTCCAGGGTCTTGGGGGACCTGGCCTTGTTGGTGTAAGTTTCCCAAACAGCTGCTCTTCTCAGGAACTGGCTTAGCAGTCTTCGCGCTCAGGCAGGCCCAACCCAGCCGCTCTGTTGTCCAGCGGCCAAGTCCCTGAGCTTTCCACGGAGGGAGGGCAGGGTGTCCTGAGCGCCACTCCCAGCCTGCGCCTTCGCCATCCCTTTGCTCGATCGCCCCCTGGTGGGCCCCAGGGAGGGGGCGGAGTCTGACTGCTCCTTCCTGGCAGCCCTTAGAGACCCAGGTGGTCCTTAGTCCACTCCATAGAATGACACGCATCCTGGTGAGCCGAGCGAGCTCATTCTGCATAGATGCCAGGCTTTATCTGCACCCAGGATGTGGCACCACTGAAAACTGGCACCGAGCTGCTGCCGCAGCCTGGCTTGGTTTTCAGAGCTCCCGCCAGCCTCCGCCTTGGGGATTCCGCTGTGGACCGAAGTCCCTTGGGACTCTGGAGTAATGATGGCGGCACGCTGCCCAGTGGGGACCCCAGGCTGGCTTTTACTTCTGTCCGGGAGCCTTCAAGGACAGTCTCACCCTCTGCATCTCGTCCCTCCCGGGTCCGTGGAGGGACGGGCCGTGTCCACCCACGTTCGAGTGGCCCACTCACTGCGGCTTGGTCTCCCCCAGTCACTTCTGGTACTGCCCTGACGTGGCCCCACAAAGCCTACTCCAGCAGGCGGGCGGGCTGCAAGCTGCCAGGGTGGCGCGGGAGCATCAGGGCTCACGGTGTTCATGCGTGTTTGTGTGTGCGCGTGCGTGCCTACGTACAGCGGAAGTGTCCGTGTGGAACGCCCTGCGGTAGCACTGGGTTGGTCACTGGGTTGCTTTGTAACGCCTGCCCCTGCGTCGGTATTGCCAGTTTCTTGTGCAATAAACAATCACAGCCGTGGGTGGTGTCTGTGTGGCCGTCTCGGTGTCACTGTCCTCTAGGCAGCAGGCCTCCTTTTGCCAGGCTCAACAGAGTGGGAATTCCCCGGCCTGCTGGCTGGGAGAAGGTCTGTGCTGTTAATTGAGGCAGCTTCATTTTGGGGACAGGCGGCCGAGACCTTGTCCAGGGCCTTGTGTAAACTGAGCACATCCTCTGTCATTGAGCTACATGCCCAGTCCTTCCAAAGCCCCATTTTTTTGTTGTTGTTCCAGACCAGGGATTGAAGCCAGGCCTTGCGTGTGCTAGACAAGTGCTCTGCCACTGAACCACATCCTCAGCCTCGAAGCCCTTCTTCCACTTGACAGAGCCCCGCTACACTTTCACGAAACCATCGAGCAGTGCCCATGTGTTATACAGGTGTCTCCCAGCAAGTTAAACAGACATGCTGCAGTGGAAATTGTTCTCCCACCCTGGTCCCGGAGGAAACCACTGTCCACAACTGACTGTTGTCCTACTGGACTGTTTTGTGATCATTCGCAAATCAGGCACACAGAAAAGTTAAATACAGCTCTCACATGTGCTCAACAGCCTGCTTTTTTCATTACATGAGATGATAGGGGCCCCTTTCCACTTGGGTCACTGTAGACGTACCTGTTGCTTTCACTGCCTCCTGAGGTCCAGTCACAGCCGTTTGGTAACGCGCCTGTTACCTCTGTAAGGTGTGTTTCAGCTGGGTCCACAGCCAGCTGCACGTACACAGCTTCCGTAAGTGTTGTCAGGCGAATCTTTATGCTGATGATCCTCTTCTAGTAGGGGATAGTCCTGGGAGTTGGATTGTTGATTCTGCACCTTTATTTTAAAATGTTTAATCTTCAGTCACTCATCCACCTTTAGAGGCAACCATTGTTGCTGGCTTTGTGTGGATCCCTCCAGATAGACCCCCCCACACCTTTTTTTTGAGACAGGGTCTCACTACATAACCCAGGCTGGCCTCAAAATTGCCATGATCATCCTGTCCATCTCCTGGGATTACAGGTGTGCGCCACCATGCCAGGCTCTCTATAAACAGGCTTTAAAAACCCCAGTAGATTCCTCCAAACTGTCTTTCAAAACATTCTTGCTTTACCAGCCTCACCATGGCCAGGATCTCTTGCCAACTGCTTGGCAAAACACCCTTGATCTCCCTGTTGCCCAGTCATGATCTGATGCATTTCCCCATGGCCTGCGCCATGATGTAATTTTAAGTACACTTTCCCTCTCACTGGGTGGGCTCGGGTACCACAAAAGCCCACTTGCCTCAGTCTGTGTGAGTCAAGCAGTGATTCAGATCCAAACGCACAACTTTCCTCTGGCAAGCTTTCTAATTTTTGTAACTTCTGAACATCACCAGCATGGACACAGGGTGTAACTTCAACTCAGATGGCCCCAGTGACTCATTTTTGTTTGTTTGCTTGCTTGTTTGTTTTTTGGTACTGAGGATTGAACTTAGGCCCTTGCACTTGTGAGGTCCGGTGACTCATATTTTGAAATTATTTTTTCTTTATTGTTATAAATTACACACCACATAAATTCCATCATTTTAACCATCTTTTAAATGTAAATTCAGTGGTAAATACGTGCATAACATACAGCCCTCACCATCAAGCATCTCCAGAACGCTTTTCACCTTGTGAAACTGATAGTGACACCCAGTTCACCCTTCCCCTTAGCCCTGGCAACCACCATTTTACTTCCTGCTTGCACGATTTTGATGGCTCTTAACTGTCTTGTGTAAATGGCCTCTTGCAGTATTTTTTTTATGCGATTGGCTTATGTCACTTAATCACAACACAATGACATAATGTCTCCAGGGTCCACGAATGTTGTAGCATATTTCAGAGTTTCCCTTTTATCACTAAGGTCCCATGTATTCTCTCCCCCACATTTTGCTTATTCATTCTTCTGCCAGTGGACTCTTGGGAAGCTAGCTACTACTATCTTTCAGCCACTGTGAAGAGTGCTGCTGTACGCATGAGTGTACAAATCTCTCTCCGAGACTGCTCTCAGTTGTTCTGAGAGTGTTCTCAGAAGTGGAATTGCTGCATTACCATAGTAATTCTAGTTTGAATTTTTCTTTTTTCTTTTTGGTACCAGGGATTGAACTCAGGTCCTTGCGAGGCAGCTGGTGGAACCACTGAGCTAAATCCCCAGCTCTAATTTCAACCTTTAAGGAACTGCCATGCTGTTTTCCACAGTGGCTGTACCATTGTACATTTCTACCAACAGGATGCAAATACTTCTATGTCTTTGCTCTTGGGTTTTTTTGGTAGAAGCCATCCTAATGGGTGTGAGGAGTTGTCTCATAGTTTTGATTTGGTTTCCCTGATGCCTAGTGGTGTTGGGGATCATTTCATAAGCTTGTTCTTCACCTGTGTGTCTTCTTCGGAGAAATATGAAATCAAGTCCTATGTAGCTACTGCTGTCTCTGTGGTGCTCGGCCTTTCTGTTTGACTGTCGTCATCCTTCTGATATCCTTGATGGTCTACAACGTGTTCTATTCCCAAATGTAGTTCTCGGAAACCGAAGCAACTCCTTCACCTTTAGCCCTGGTTTTTGTTTTTGTTTTCAAGTAAAAAAAAAAAAAGTATTAGAGATGAAAATGTGGTTCTCTTAAATGGCATGGTGAATTAATATTTGATCAACTTCCTTGGTCCAGATATAATAAAGACACGAAATAGAAGACGGAAAGGGAGAAAGAGAAGAAGGAAAAAGAGCAAAACACTTAAAGGGCTGGTTCAAAAACAAGATAAAGGAGCCTGTAGGTGAGGAACAGAACCGAGGTGCGAACACTGGGAAAGCCTGAAGCCTGCGTGGGTGCCGTGGGTGAGGGGTTTGAGGGGGCCCCAGGATAGACTGGTGCCAGAGCTGCTCACTACTCCTTCTCAGTTATGGTGTCAGGGCCAACCATCACCTGGCGTGGTCAAACCACCCCGCTGGTTCTGCACCGGGTCTGGGATCTTCCCAGGTCACCCGGACCGAGGTCCCAGGTGCTGTTAGAAGATGAGGTTCTGGAGTATGGACGCCCAGCGGGAGAAGAGGCAGCTGTGAGGCCCTTGGGGAGGGACCTGTCCTCTTTACCCTTGTGGATTAAGGCTTTGGGTGTGTGGGGGGTTAGTGGGAACTGAACCCAGGGCCTTGCCTGTGCTAAGCGAGTTCTCTACCTCAGAGCTACATTCCAGCCCTGATTGAGGCTCTTAGAGAGCGTTCTTATTGTCACTGTAGCTGAGCTGAAGAGGTGGTAAATCTGCTATCTCAGTGAAGTCCTTTGTTTTATTAAGTCTGCCCTGGGGCGGGGTCAGTGGAGGGATGGCTCACAGCCACAACAGTGCATAGAAGGCCAGAAGCTGAAGCAGCTTTGACGGTTTATTATGGTGCCTCTTCGCTGATCTGTCTGCTGCTGACCTTGCCTTCCTACAGAACTGAGCCCTTGCCCGGTTCTTCAGGGCTCACCAGAACCTTCCAGACTGGACTCCTTCCCCTGTGTCTTTGGCCAGCGCGCCTTCTGCCATCTTTGTATCCCCCAGAAGTGTGTGGATTCTCAGATGCTCCCACTCAGACTGGGCCAAATGGCTGAAACAAAGTGAAAACTATTTTGCCATCATTTGATGGGTCTTGGGAGAAAGAAACGAGACATATGTGGCCGCATTAAGTTTTTATTAATCAAGTCCGTTGCACCCAGCTTTCTAAGAGCACTGGGCTTATTACGTGTGGGGGGCAGCTGAGGGGAAGGAAGTGGGAGGGTAGGGGTAGCACAGATCTGCTTTGTTACCTCCAAAGCTATGGTGGCGGTAGGTAGTCCTGCTTATACACGAGGGGTGTTTTCCTTCTTCAGTTCCCATTGGGTCCCCTCATTCTAAGACATTGATTAGGCGCCAGTATGGGCAAAGACAAGCCCACTGTGGCCCACTGCTGGTCACTGGTAAATCCTGGCTCCTACCCGTGCCGGGTGGACAGCTGAGGTGGCCCAGTGAGCCCACCTGCCGAGCCTTCCCCGTGAGGTTGGGCCGGTCTAGTTCTTGCCAGTCGGAGATGGCAACAGTGGTCGGATATCACAGTGGCGATTAGACTGCAAGGGGCTGTGACCCGCCTCGTGCTGGGCGTCTCTCCCTGAGCCCTTCCTGGCTGACCCTGTGGCGGGGGACTGAGAGGCTGTGTCAGTGGCCAGCTATGAGGATTTGAATCTCGGAACTGGGTCCTTTGCCCACTGTCCTCCGCAGGGAGTGACTCCCCGCAGGGGAGCCAGACAGCCCCGGCCCGCCCCTGTTCCAGAGCCCAAAAACCCTGAGTTGATACATGTGTGTGGTTTAGGCTGTTACCTTTGATGGTGATTTGTTATGCAGCCACACATAACTAATATACTCCCTTAGGTTAGATCAGATATCTTTGGATTAGTGTCTCTTCCAGTCCTGGTTCCTGAATGTGGCCATGATTTTTAATAAATAACATGGAGATTTTCTGTAGATAACAAAACAAAAACCCCCAGCAGTACAAACAAAAAGCTAGCATCCTTTCCATGCTTTTCTTGGGGGACAGAGAATACTGAGGGGTTGCTGTTACTTTGGTCCTGTCTCCAGTCCCCACCTGACACCCTTTGCTTGGGGTCTGGCCCGGCCTGCGACTGTGGCTCCCGTCCTTGGATGTCATTAGTGCTTGTCTGGGCCTCTAGCCAAAGCCAGTGGGTAAGAGTCATGTCCAGTCTCTCAGAAGGACAATTTTGAGACCATTTCCTGTGCAATTATGGGGTGAGCGGCAGGGTAGACGGTGCTATTATGGCATTAAATTAGGCTGAAGGACAGACAGTCTTCGCAGCCCCAGATCGCCACCAAGGTGGTTTAAGGGCACAGCGCTGCCTCAGTAGTGGGTTCCACGGAGCACCAGAGCCCTGCTTGGCCGGGGTGTAGAAGTGATGCGTCCTCTGGGAGGGCGCTCATTTCACCCCTGAACTTCGGGATTGCACCTTCGAGCTTGGCAGTTGCCTGTAGTTGGTTCACACAGGTT